ATTAGTATCGATTTGCGAAATATATCAATTATGTGTTTAAATAACTCACATTTTAAATTTAAAAATTTTTATTATTTAATCATACGTTTGTAGATATTAATAGTTAAAATTAATTTTAAAAACAAGTAAAAAGAATCATATTGAAGCTCTATTTATGTTTTATACGATTAAATAGTGTGTCTTCTCAACTGAAGGTTAAAAAAATGTTTGCAAAGCAGAGTCAAGTGAAAGAACTAAAAAGGCTCTTATTAAAAAAACAAGTTACAATAACTATAGAAAGATTTCAAGTATCCGATGCAGATGTAAAGAATCTATCAGTATACGTTATCACGTGTTGGAGAAAATGTTTCAAGTGTTTGGAAACATTTTGAAAAATGATTGGCTGTAGGAATCTTTTTTCATTTGAAAATTTCGAATAAAGAAATGTTTCTATTCAAGTGAAAGTTTCGAAACAACTACTTTTATTTAACAATACAATGCTTACTTTTTTTGAATGAAAATTGTTTCTACTAATTGATAATTAATAAAGATTAGTTGTTTATAAGACCTTATTGTATCTTAAAAGTAAATCAATTTCTCTAGAAATTTCTGCGAATATATGAATGAGAAAGAGGATTCAACTTGTTATGATTTTGACAGCTGATGAGATTTTTATTGTACTATCAAAATCTACATTTCTACCTTGATGTCACATGTCGTCTAGGTCGTATTTTTAAAATATAGTGAGTGTTTGATTGAAGAGAGATGAATTTCAATTTTATTGTTCTCTTAATTATCGATATATCAATGTACTCAATATCAACTAAAAAGATTGATGTTTTTAAACTTTAGGAATGTTAAATATACGATTAGCTATCATTTTATTATTTTTCTTTAATTGATCAATAAAAAAATGTCCGCAGTCAAGATGTAATAATCTTCAATAGTAAGTCTAAAGTGAAAAAAAACAATCATATTGATCGCATTTATCTACAAGAGAAAAAATTCAAATGCAGATTAAAGTAGATAATAATCCAAAGGAATAGAGATGAGTTTATTTTGTCAAAAGAATACAATCGAAGCTTTTGTCTAATGGCCTATTGCAATATGATTTTTCTAGTTTTGAAAGGATTTATGATAAACCAATAAATTGATTACATCTTTTAAAAAAATTGGATGCAAATAAATTTCTTCTGAGCTAACAAACATTCGAAGACAGAGCTAAATTAAAAGAAATATAAACCTATCTGAATAAATACATAGAATTAAAAAAAACGAGAACATACGCAACTTATTTAGTATGTCTACAAGCTATAAACTACTTAACATGATCAATTGAATCAATAAATGCCCCTATCGAGAAGACTGTTAATACTCATTTTCAAGGTGATATTAACTCAAATATACGATAAAATATCATCGATTACAACATCTGCATACATGTTCCATCTAAAATTTGAAGTCAACAATTGAATAGCAGATATTCAAATACTTCCGGAACCATCTACATAAAGTCAACTTTCTCATTGAGTATGCCATAAAAAAGAAACATACACATCGGACAATATACCAATATCTAAATATATCTTTAATGATTCAATTTAATCATTCCGATTTGACACTATTGTACATGTTTAGCAATAAGAATCATATATTTCGAATTTATGAAAATTTTCATTTAATTGTAGCAATATAAATCTGAATATAATCGTTTTAACAATAATGTACACACGTATATATATATAAGAATGAAGAAAAGAAACATGAGACAATAAATATAGTTTGTCATTTAATACTATGCTCGATCATGAAGAACAATTAAGAAAATTTCAGTGAAATAAATTTCTTAATATCTATATTTATTGTCACACATGAGATAAAAATTTGTATTTAAAAATTAAGACAAAAAAATAATTTTTGAAAAGAAGAAAAAAAAAGAGAAGAATAAACTTGAAATTTGTGTTGTTATTTATTCAATATAAAATAGCTGTATCATCTCGTAATTGTGCTAATCGAGCTTTACGTATTAATGTTAAATTTGAACATTTATTTGTACGAATATATATAGGTTCAAGTGAATTCTGATTACTTGAATTTGTTCCTATTATTGTTGATGGTGGCGATATTGAGCGATAATAATCAAATGGTAATAAATCGGTTGTTTGACGACAACTTTGACTATATTTTAATGAATGTTTTAAACGTTCGTCTTGCTTTAAACGTAATACATGATCAAGTTCATTAAGAAAACGATTATGTGAATTATTTAGATTTTCAGGAGTAACTGCTAAATTTGAAACTGCTGTTAATACAGTACATGATGAAGCATAAACAGGTTCATTTGAAGGGTTTTTATAATAACTAGAAAATAAAACAAACAATATTATTTTTATGAATAAAAATTCTTTTGTTTAGAATAATAATTTATTTGTTTTTACCCAAATTTTCTTGGTAAGGTTTCTTCGTAATGCCATGAATTAGCTGTCAGAGTTGATTCAGCACTAAGTAATTTATCTAAATTTTTTACATTTTGATTAATTAAATGTGGTGGATCAAATGATAATGTTAAAGCTGAATCATTTGTATTAAATCTTCTTTTCTTTTTTTTTCTTTTACTAATAATAATATTATTATGATTATTATTTAATTTAATTGAAGGAAATCTTTGTGTACGTTGATATTGTTGTCGATGATATGATGATATAGGAGGTGAATTATTTTCTTCATTTGAATTCATACGTTTTGTTTTTAAACGATAATGACGAATAATAAACCAAATAATAAAACAAATAATTAAAAAAATACATATCAAACCAACAATACTAAATATTATTGTTATAATTATTTTATCGCGTGCGTTCAAAGACATTGTATTTGAAAAGAATATCTAAAAGAGAAGAGAAAAGAAAGAAAGAGAATTCGAAATGTTATTACTCTTTTTTTTTACGAGTTTCATTTTAGTAATGGACATATTTCTATCATGCTGTGCTCGTTTATACTTAAGTTAATCGACGCTGAATTGCACATATACATATGCTGACATATTGTCACCTCATATTGAATGAGTGAGCAATCTTTTTTTTTTCTGAACTATCGTGCACACATGTAGACTTCTATTCTTGTGCCTTTCTCCTTCACACTCTCGCTGAACAACAGTATAAAATATTATAACAAGAGAAAAAGAAGAACAAACGAGAATATGATTTGAACTCAACTTGTGTGCAACAGCACATCGTCGCGACAATTTTTCTCTCTCTCTCTCTCTGTCTTTCTCCTGTTCTTTCATGCTTAGATTTGCAATTGCAGACACACTTCGATGTATGTGTATGTATGTGTTGTTTGTTGAAGAAACCTCATTTACTGTTGATCGGTATGTATAAAACGAAAAGAAAGAATTATAGTACACAGAACTACTATAGTATATGGATTAAAAAAAAGAGGGAAAGTTAAATGACTTTTGCGGTTATATTAATATGAGCAAACATACTACAGACTGTTAACATAACGCTTTGTATGTACAACTGAGAATTGCTTATTGCCATCTGTTGCTTACCTGTCAATAGAATAATAATATCCAGATGAAACTATGTCATTATTAAAATGAATTGAAAATGTACAATATCTCTATCATATTATTTGAATATTTTCTTCATAAATATGTTATTATTCTTTTTCTCTTTTCTTTAGATGAAAATAAAACAATAATTTAGTGTACAATTCTCGAATAGGTTGTAAATAATAAAAAATTTATTAATAGAAAATCCTTAACATCTACAATGCAAATGAATCCATTGGAGGGTTAAATATTTCATAGCTCAATATAAAAATGAAGAGAAGAAAAAAAAAGTTCTATTCATTTTTTTCAATCAAATGAAAACATTTATGTGTTGTCATCATTAGAATTGAATAAAATGTTAAGAAGGACAAGTCGATTTGATTACGTGTAAAATATACAGGTGAAACAAAGAAATTTGATTTTTTTTTTCTTTTCAAGGTTATGATATTGATATTTCAAGTTTTTATTTACTATTTCAAGGACATTTTTATAGAATCGATTGAGTAATAATTATATTGTTCTTTTCTATATTTTGATGAATTCCCATGATCAACTATAGACAAAAAAAGACACTCCGAAATATGTTGACATGAGAAAAAAAAATTTCAAGTATTTTTTTAATAAACTAACTGGTTTATATAGTTTATTGTAAGATGGAATTTTTATTATTATTTTTTCGTTATACTTCTTGCCATAACTATATTATTGATTACCCTTGAACATAACAATAATTACGATATTATCAAATATGATTGAGTACAAATAATCATTGAAACCAACATATAATTTCAATCACAGCTAGAATTCAGTCTAAATACAACGATTGAAATTTAAAACGATGTCGTCTATATATGAAGGATCTCTTTTTATGTAATGTACAATAAGACATGTTTCCAGTAAAAATATGTATATCTATATGAACGATGAATGAAATTAAAAATTTTTCAATAGTTTTATGTTTTGAATTAATCAATAGTATATAAATATCATCCGATAGCCATATTTGTTCAATAGTATATCAATTGAAATACTTACATGTGACAATATGAGTCATTTTAAATTTTAAAATTTTTGAACATTTTTTTGTTAACATACATATTCTTGTTAATTTCTCATAATCCGATACGTAAATTTGTCGTGTCAATAAAAATACTACTACAGTCAAAAATAAACTTCATGTTTTTTAATCTCTTTTTAAATAAATAAAAACATTGACGATTAAGAGCTGTTCTTATCAAAGAAGAATGATGTTTTTTTTATGTTTGACTTATTTGTTTTCCTCTTAATAAAATAAATTTCATTTACTTTTTATAATTGACAACATATTAAAAAAAAACTACACGAAAGAAAATACTTTCACTTTTGAGTTTCCATGACAAATTAAATTTTCGATTTATTATTTTCAAAGCATAAAATGAAAGCAAAAGCAAAAAAATAAATATGTTCAATTTGGTTTTTTTTTCTTTCATTTTTTATCATCGTCACACATTTTCTTTACACCTTTAGCCAAAAGTAAACCACCAAGGACACCAAGGAGAGCAGCAGCTGCTGGTTTTATATATTTTCCAATATCGGACTCTGTATCGTCTTCTTTTTTCATTTTTTGTATACGATCTTGAATTTGTTGTGCATAACCAGGTGGACGATCAGGTGTTGTCGCACCATATTGTCGTTCGATTATATCACGTACAATATAATTTCCCGGTAGACTATCAATTGAATTATTTATTAAATTTGATCGTACACGACATGTCGGACCTATTGTTTTTTTTTCATTCAGAAGAAAAAGAAAAGTAATTAGAAGAAAATAAATGATTTCAAAAAAAAAAACTTGCAATCAATAGTATTTGAATATCCTGATCTACGTGATGATGATGCATGATGTACTTTTAAACAATTAGCACAAAATGTATGTTGACAATCGAGAACTTTTGGATCATGTAAGATATCCAAACATATTGGACATTGAAGAAGATCATCAAAGTTTGATGCAGTAGCCATAAGTAATTTATTATTACTAGAATTAAAAAGAAAGATGAAAGTTTTTAAATACACATACTAGACAAGTAATGACAAAATAAATCATTCAAGAGCATGTACTTTCTTTGAAGGATTATCAATAAACTATTCTTATATAAAGATTTGATCAAATATGTAAATATATATTATAATCATCTTTCTTTTCCTATAAAATATTATGATTATCAAATTCTTTTCTTAGGGGTTCGCTTAGACTTAGCCTTGGTTGGAATTATACATAAATAGATGACTTATATCAAAGTAAAAGTTTCTCGTGATCGGATTAAATAAATGAGATATCGAATATTTTTAGTCTCGAAATAAATTCAATGCATTGAGCCAGTCTGATAACTAGTTATCGGTGTCTAATCTACATCAATCATAAATAAAGTAATTGTATTCTGTTGCAATTAAATATCAATTATAATATCTACCAAATCAAGCTAGAAGATATTTTTGTTTTTTAGTCATTATAAGCTATTGAAAGAAGAAAATTTCCTGATGTTTACTCTACATAATATATAGCATTTATCCATATGACTTTTTTGACTCAAAAAATTGTAAAACTTCAACTTACCACAAAGAAATCAATTGTTTTTTTTATTCTTAATTAAAATATTATCTAAAATAAAATAATACAAATAAGATTAATTTAATTTAATCTGACATTAAAATACAATAAGGAAAAAAAAGATTGCGATGAAGAAAAAGAAAAAACAAAAAAAAGGCTCATTCTTCATGAGATGTTGATTGTTTTTGATTATTGCTACCAAGAAGACTTTCATTAATTTTTCGTAATTCGTTACGAGCATTTTTAAACAATGTTGTCAGATCTTGTCCACCTGATGATTTATTAAATACAAATCGTCGTACAGCATCTAACGAACTTGATGATTGTTCGGCAGTATTATCATTTATTTGAGATGAAATATACGTTTCACGTATTGATGCTGATAATTGAGAACAATCAACTGTCTTGGATTTGACAAGTGATGAGTTATTAATAGGTTTCTATACAAACAAAACGAAATAAAATAAGTTTAAATTTAGAATAGCTAACAATATATACTATTGCTGATGCTAAACCATCATCTTCTTCGTCATCAAGAGAACCATCTTGTTTTGTATTTATTTCAGTGACTGAAAAATAATAATATTTTTCTTTTGCAAGAATAATGTATTTTATATTACCAGACGCATAAGACTCTGGATACTTTTTATTCAATCGCATTTTAAGTAATCTAAATTAGACTATTTATTTACAAATAAATAGATATTATATTTTCTTTTATCATACTGAATTCGTTTAAAAATTAAATCTAAATCTCTTTTCATAGTTGTTAACATGTGTGTATGATTTGTAAATTCTTTTGTTGCATCTAAATAACGTTCAGCTGATAATTTATTAATTCCATCTAATTTTTCATTTGTTTTATCCAATTGTTCAAGTCTAATTTAAAAAAGAAAATTTTTCTTTCATAATAAAAAAAAAATTGATATAATATACAATAAATTTTGAGCATGAAGTAGTCCATTAACATCTTGTTTATTAATTTCATTTGAAAACAAATTTATAATCAACGATGCAGTTGTTTCTGATGTACAAGGGATTAAGTCAACATTGGCGTCCATTATGAATATAAATACTCTATAATGTAATGACGTAAAAAAAACAGTTATATTGTTGTTTACTTTTCAGCATAATTTGATCGATTCATGAATCATAATGAGAAAAATAATTTGATGACGATTCATTTGTATCTTGATTTTAAAATTAGATATTTGAAAACAAAAACACATTTTTTTTAAGTAAGGAAATAATTATTCATATTGTTTTACAACTCATACTGGGTTTTTTTCGTATTTGATTAAGATGGAAAGACTAGTCATAAATCCGATTAGTTAGTTAAAAATAAAATAATTAATTTTCCTTTTTAGTTTAAAAAAAACAACAAAGATAATTCTTTCTGAATTGACTTATCTTTATTTTTTAAGATATACAAATGATGTAAAATAGAAACATTATAGTTAATAATCTAAATATATTGTATGTTAATGACCTCTGTCGATGATCTGGTTAATATATTATTAGTAGAATATATCATAAAAATAAAATTTTGTACATTGTAAATTTAAAAAATTGGCTAAGTTTGAGTCAATTTATTTCGTTGACTAATGAATTAACTGGTTCACCATACCAACTGTCCTATGATGAATCGGAATTTAGATATTCAACTTTCAAAGGCAGCATTCAATTTTAGTATAGGAAACTGATTATTGAAGAATTATTTTCACTCATCTTTTATATACAATCATTGATCGAAATCTATAATTATTAGTATATGCAATCTTATATTTACGAAAAAAAATTAATGATTCTAAATATATCTCTCATTAGATTTCATTCAGATAAAGAGCTCTGATTGAATGATGATGATAATAGAAGTTTTGTTTTTGTATGAAATGCAAAAAAAAACAATTAGTAAATCATCAAATGGCGTATTAGTATACATAATCATTAAGCATTGGACACATATGTGAATCATTTTTCCAATAATAAATCTATCTTTTTCTGATTGAATCTCTTTATATAGTCCATAACTTGTAATAAGACTACAAGAATCATTTGTCTGATAATCGGATGATTGTTTACAAAGATAGATGCAAATAGTGCTTGTATTATTATGCTTCTATGCCAAAAATGATTAGTTGACTGATATCCACGTCAGTATAAAAGAGCACTGCGGGTAAGTTCTATAACTCGGTATTGGGAATAGATATCGATCTGCGATTTTTACTAATCGAAAGGTGAAGGCATAATTCAAGTGATTATGTTTTTGTATGTCAATATTGAGCAAACAAAATCATGTATCTATTCGGTTATATTCTATACGACGATGGTTTCTTTCTAGTAAATTTTCTTGAAACGAAACATCGTTTTTATGCATTATTCGAAAGTTTTGCGGAAAGGTCAGTTTTCGAAATAATTTTCTCTAATATTATATCAGACAAAAAGACATCCGAAATTCTACTCTGTCGATTGATGAAAACTGCAGATTGATAGCTGTTGACGCTGTGAACTTATATACATTGCACAAAAGTCCCATTATCAAATTGGATTAACTAATAGAAAGTTAATCGAAATAACGAACTGAAGCATGGCTTGTATATGTCTCTTTGAAAAAAATTCTTTCACAAAAATTTATAAAAAAAAAGCCAAAATTGTGTTCCATCGAAGATGATATAGATGACAGTCATTTTGTAAATTATAAATAAAATCTTGATTTTGACTATGCCATGATTTATTAGACTTGATAGTCTGATGAATACATCAATCAAAACAGTAATCGATATCAAAAGAGCAATCGAGATAGTTACTTTTCTTTTTTTTCCTAGATAACTGTGTTCTTAACGCTTTCAATAGATGACATTTCATGGATTGTAACTAGTGCAGTAAATTGAAATGTTTTCATCACATTGATATTAATAAAAAATGATAATATTCTTATTTTACGATACCATCCATCTTTCTTCTTTGTATTGTTAATGACTGTAATTTCATCAAAATATTCTGATGAAGAAATATTCATGTGAAAAAAAAATGAACAAACTGATCTTATGAACCTATTTAATAGTAATAATTAGAAACATCTGCTACAATCCTCTTTTGATTAAATGAGATATTAACATAATTAAAGGAAATAATTTCATTAATATCAGAAATGCCGAATCTTTCAAAATGATGAGAGAAATTCCAAGTTTTTGCACGTTATGAGCATGATTATAACCTCTGAATTAACTCTTTCCAGCTATGAATATTCTTTTGTGATGCTAATATAATCATTATATATAGGACAGAATTTTCAAACTATTGACAGTACACACTGGCTTAAATTTAAAGCCTTTTCCGAACTAAACTGAACAGATTATATTAAAAAAGAAGCCATTTAAAAATAGGCAATACTGCCAGTACAAACTACTAAGGAACAACTTTTTACATGATAAATCTAACCTGTTAAAATGAATTAGACTCAACCGTGAATGATGAGTTCAAAGATTGACATAGGAATATAAGTATAGTTGAAGAAGAAAAAAATTGTGTCACTATCAATTCTCACATAAAATACTGATAGAGCAAAACATGTTTCAGTAAAAAGATTGCAATATATGTGTTTAAACATCAGATGACTACCTTTCGAATTTTCATTACCAAAATTCATATTTATACCATTTTGATCCAGTAATCATGTGATTTTATATAGCAATTATTATGACGTTTACTATTTTTCTTTGTGAAATATCAAATATTTTCTATTAAAAATTAATTTATGATCAAGTGATGATTGTGTTCTCTTGGAAATGTGTTTTTTTTTCTTAACCATTCTAGTATCAGATAGATGTTCTTTTAATAGAAATTTGTTCTCTTTGTGAAATGCTAAATTTGCTACTGTTGAAATGATATGTATGAGGATTTTCAATTATAACAGAATTTTCTAATTGTTAATACTTCGTTTATGTTTTTTCTTTATTGCATTTGACAAATATTTATTCATTTAAAATTTATTCTGATGTAAAAAAAAATGTACCACCATACTTCTACAAAAACGTTTCGCTCTAACTATTCACTATCAATATATATGATCTTTTATAGCACACATATTCTAAGATACTATAATTATTTAGTAGAATAGAGAAAAATGAAACATTTTCCATCGACTATACTTAAATATGAATCTTAATTATCTATATCTAAGTCAACTGGTAATCAGCTCCATCTAGTAGATTTTTGTATGTAGTTTCAATCAGAGATTGGTTAATACTTTGCGAAATATCAACATATTATATTTATTCATTTCAATGACCAGAATAGGAGAGAAAAGAAAAATAAGAACAAATACTTGATAAAAGAAAGAAAAAACACGGAGAGAATTGATGTGTCACCTTGAAAAGAAAAAAAAAGAAATAAATGATTTTGTTCGATTTTTCTTTTTCTTAGATGCTATTGTCAATGTTTCATTGCTAAGCTCTCGATTGACGTATCCTATATTTTTTATTCAATGCCTCAAAAAAAAACCAAAGACGAAAATATATTAATAATCGATAGTAAAACTATGTTTCTTAAACGTGCACTTGAAAAATTATTAAGCGAAAAAGATATTAAAAAATCTCAATATCAACAATTAAAACGAGCTTGTGAAACAGCATTAACATCAATTACAAAAGATATTCAAACATCTCGGTAAGATCAAAAAAAGAATAATACATTTTTCTTTTATTAATTCAAATTTTAGAATAAGTGAATCATCTATTTTACCATCAACAGATCAACAATCAATTAATGCTGAAAAATATTTTCTTCCATTTGAATTAGCTTGTACATCAAATCATCCTCGAATGGTTGATACGTCACTTGATTGTCTTCAAGTAAACATTTATCTATGAATTTTATTTTATTTAATCGTTTTTTTTTTTTTTGTTAAATAGAAACTTCTTTTACATGGACATTTACTCGGCAGTATTGCTGATCCAATTGATCCATCAAAATTATTAATTGATCGAATTGTATCAACAATATGTATGTGTTTTCGTGGTGTACAAACAGAAGAACAAGTTGAATTACAAATAATTAAAGTTTGTTTTGAATATATATATATGTATTTTTTTAAATAAGCGAAATAAATATTGATGTAGGCACTTTTAACTATAATGACATCTCAAGTAATTGAAATTCATCAACGTAGTGTTTTACAAATTATTAAAACATGTTTTAATATTTATTTAACAAGTCGTTCAAAAATTAATGAAGCAACAGCACAAGGATCTTTATCACAAATGTTAAATGGAATATTTTCAAAAATGGAACAAAAAATGGTTAGAAATTGATTTCATTTTTGTTTAAATGAATAAAAACAAAACATATTCGTTTAGGTTTTCTTAAATGAACGACGAAAACAATATCAAGAAGACTCAACAATTATAACATCGAATAATATTGATCAAGAAAATGTATCAACAAGTAAAATTATTATTATTATTTTTTAATGTTTTGTATTTGTCATTCAAAAAAACAAAAAAAAAACATACATTTTAGTTGTCAATGAAATTCTTGATGAATTAGTAGAAAGAATATGTTATGGTAAGAAAAGATTCTTTTGATAAAACGTTTAATAAAGCTTTGTTTTAATTTAGATGAAGCAACACAAAAAACAAAAGATACTACTTTATCGACAAATGAAATTATTGAAGATACACAAGCAACACAAGAAGAATTTCATAATGGAAGATCAAGAAATGGTTTAGGTATATTCAAAAATTTGAAATAATTCATTAATTAAGCATTTTGAGATCAAAAAAAAAATTTTTTTTTTCATATACACTATACATTATTTGAGATGAGTATGTGTTTTTCAGTATACTTTCGATATTTTGACTCGTTTTACTTGAAGGATAAAAGTTCAATCGAATATAATATGTTAGAGAAACGAAACAGGCGAAAATTGCGATTCTAGTATCTTGTAGAACGATTCTTTGAAAAAAAGAAGGTGGACCATTCTCTGAAGGAATTTTTCATGTTAAAATTGTGTGTTAAGGTTATTTATTACTAACTGATATGATATATCATCACTTGTCTCTTCATTATGTTGAGACAGATCTAATATTAGATCTATCCTTTTATCTAAACAATGATGAATAGAATCGTATAAAGTGTCTTTGTACAGAATCAAAATTATATTGATTGAGAATAAACTTATAAAGATCACTGTTATAATTAACTGGTATGTGAGAAATCATTTTGTAAAGATTGATTCTTTTAGATTATTTGAATATCATTATGATAGAAGAAGTATGTTTCTCATACATCTACTGATGAAATAATAGTTTCAACTAATCAATTGTATTCTCATCAAAAATTACTAGATTATAAACTATCAAATATATGTATAAGAAATCACGTTAGGTGTTCATAAAATAGTATTTCAGATTAATAAAAATATTCTTAAAATCGTTTTGAATTAGATTGTAGAATATATCAAGTTATCTATAATATATTATTGTCGTCTCTTTTCCAACAATGACCTTTAACTAAATTACTGTCATCTTGAGGGTTTTTATATTCAAATATTTATATGTCCCAAGTGTAATAATCATGCTCGTCAACGACTATAAGTCGGCGTATATCACCATATTATATGGCTCAGTTATTACGATCGTATTTCTTCGTGTGCGATACACAATAAAACAATTGTTTACGAACGTCAATGTCATTCTCTATGACACGCAGACATACGATCGTAATCTTGAGCAACGTGGTACATCAAATACGAAGTGTATATAGATTTCATATTCGTCCCTCTGACAGTATCATATTGAAAAAACGGAAAATAATCGAAAAATTTTGTCTAACACGATACATTCTGACAGAGATCATACACAAGTCCAAAGAAAACAAGAACTGCAAAGTGATAGTGACCATCAATCATTCAAATTTGTAGAAACTGTTGTTAAACATTCATTAAGTGTACATTTCCAGTCTATTCTAATTGTTATACGTTTATTCGATTAGAAAATCTAATCATTTGATAAGAATAACGATTTTTCTTTTTTATGAATTAATACATGAAATAATTGGCGACAATAGCTGACCGAAATCTGGTAACAATAAAAGCAACTACAAACATAATAGTAGACTTTCTTGTTGTATAACTAAGTTTTTTTTCCGCTTATTTTCATTAATATCTATCAGATATTATTATTCATCATTGTTATAACTGGTTACAGATAGAATAATGACAACAGCAACAGGAAACTATAGACATCTAAAGTTAATATTTACAAGACACATTACTGTTTTTTTTTGCGATATTTTTTTGATTTCAACATTTCTTCGTCATACCAAAGAAAAACAAACGATTTAAAGCTAAGAAAATTATTGTTCTCTATGGTGAGACGACAGATGAATTTGACATAAGTTAGGAATCAATAAAAATACAAGAACAAAATTTTATTTGAATAAATTCATATTCACATAAAAAATTGAATAGAGTTCTTGTTTCATTTGAAGTAGAAGCGTCTTGATATAAAAAAAAAAAAAAAAACCAAAACTAGTTGTTGTAATTTTTTCATCAAGAAGTTCTTATTGTGCACATTTCTCTTTGTTTCACAAGTTCAGCTTGAAACTGTTCAACCATTTTATCTAGTTTGCATGCTGTGTCATTTTCAAATCTTTGATAGATTCATTAATTTATGGAATATCTCATGATAAATTTTGATCAGAGATGAAAGGTATATTGTAATAAGGAAAATACATAATCAAAATGTCGGAAGTAATAATGTCGATGTATCATTTCGATATGCTCTATAAACTGAATAGATCAAAAAAGAAAATTTTGTTTGTATGGAAAACTAGCATATTTAAGAATATAGGATATTTCTATTTTTCATGTTTCGGTATTACCATAGTTAATAAAATTTTATTTAGTAGTTTTTTTTATCAAAAAAAAAAAGAAAAGAAAAATAAATCAATCGATTAATTGAAAAAATTCTTTCGTGAGTTTTAATATAATTCTGAGTGTTGCAGACATAATTTCAATTAATTATTTTAATTTTTCGTTTTTTTTTGATTTAGAAATATAAAAATTTAATTCGATTAATAATAAAAATCTAATGAATATAATAATATATCATTCTGTAATTTAGATTCTCAATCAACTAGTGATCCATCATCTACAAAGAGCACAATGTCAAATTCATTATCAGCTGATGAATTATCAGCTGATAATTCTTTTAAAAATGCTTATTATGTCTTTCGTGCATTATGTAAATTATCTGATCGAGATATAAAAGATAAAACAAATACTGATCCAAAGTAGGTCAAAAATAATTATTTAACTCTTTAAGTTCAAGGATAGTTTTTTTTTTTTTGGTTGATAATCGATCACTAACATAGGGATTTCGGATACTCAGCATGATTGTACGATAGTTTTAAAAAAATAGATAATGTTTTTTCTTTTTCTTATGAAAACAAAGAATGTCCGTTGAAAGAGACATTCGATCTTAACCATATAAATGGATCATTTTTCTTAATTTCTCTGAGAAAAACTTTTCTTCATAAATAATTTTGTATAGTTATTTCATATAATACCAAGAACTAAGTATATAAAATATCTGAAATGTTTAACAATTGTACACTTTTCGTTTTACTATATTAAAACTTTGTGAGTCCAGTCGAGTGTCACGATATCAATCTTATAGAAAACAAAAGAATCATTTCATGATTCCGCTATTGTTCTCAGTTTATGAGCGAAATGTTCAGAATTGAAGTAAAATTCGTATATTGTAACATAGGCGGAAGGAAATTTTTGACGGTTAAATAAGTGTCCAGCCATTCTCTAATCCTACCTCGCGATACCCTTTTGAAACCTCAAAGTAGCCAAAATTTTGCTAACATAATACTTTAAATAGTTCTTCCATTATTCATAGGTTGATAGAATATGTCATATCATTATGACCGAATGTTTCTTTCACAAGACATATTCTTAAGGATGTTGCAATAAGTCAATAGATCGTTTAAAACTCAATCGAACAGTTTTAACAGATGAATTTAGTTTTTATGATTAATAAGTCTAGGAATATACTGATTTTTATATATAAGAGTTTTTAAAGTCTACAACAGCAATCATTGTAAAATTTCTTGAAAGAGTTAATTATTAATTTGAATTGTTTTTTTTTTTTTGTATTTTATTTTAAGAACTAATTTGGATTTAAAATCTCGAATATTTTCATTACGTTTAATAATGCAAATTCTTCAAACATCAGGTCCAATATTTCGTTCATCAGAAGATTTTCTTTATATTATTAAAACATATTTATGTGTATCATTATCACGTAATGGTGTTTCATCAATACCTGAATTATTTGAAATGGCTTTATTTAATTTTGTTGAATTACTTGATAAATTTAAATCATATTTAAAAATACAAATTGAAGTATGTTAGTTTTGTTTTCTTATATTTATATTTGATAATGAAAGTTTATCTGTATCAGTTATAATTGAATGTCGAAATTCTTCTTCTAATGCATGTATATATTTATTTGGATCATATTGAATAGTTGAATTTAATTCTAATGATGTTTTAATGAGATTTTCAGTTGAATGAATACTTGAAATAGGTGTTAAAGGTAAGGATATTGTTGAATGAGTAAGAATAGATGATGATATTTGTGTAAGATAATCTGCAATTTTTTGTTCACATAATTCACATAATTCGAATGTTGTTGGTTTTTGATTACTATACCAATCTTCTTTGCTATACTAGAGAAATATTTTATTATCGAAATATAATTGAGAACGAAAAACAAAAAAAAGAAAGTTTGCCGTTTTATTTTTGACAAAAAAAAGAATGTTCTAATGTTTTGCTCAATTTTAAAGTTATGTATCATAAGATTGTATTATGAACTATCAAATAATAGAAGCAAATCTTAATAAGACTTTAAAAATATATTTATTGAAAATATAATATAAAATCAAATCAATAAGGCAACTGCCAAAAGTGATATATTTGCGCATGAGTTGTTTTTATAGTCCCAAAACTATCGGACCTATGGATCTGTTTAGAACACATGAGCCGTGACAATATGATATTCAATTCAAGGTTTATACGACCATGAAACTATCAAGAACAAAGTGTTTGCTAATCGTATTTTTAATTGATACGTTCATAGATAGTAAACCGTTTTCAAATATACTCAATAAATTATTGTGTTAGGATATCAAAATATTCAAAAACATCATGAATAGTCGAAGATTTTGAGTATTATGGTTCCAATACTATGATTTATTGAATAAATTTGAATATTGTTTTTGTATCAAAATGATCCGTACAATAGGCGAAAAAAATCTTCTGAGCCCATGGAAATATCGATCAAAAACATGATTCGCAAGTATTTTGCCGTTGCTACAAAGATATCGCTCTCAATGAAAAAGTGTTGGTCATGATATAGCGAGTCCGTGACCATTCTGCTTATGTTTAGGTATATCCTTTTTATAGTGATGTTTAAAGAATAACTAGACTGGAATAAATTCATAAAGGTTTTAGCCCATAAGGATTCTCGATAGATATACGACAATATCGCTTTATTTAAACCGTAAGACAGAATATAGATAGAAAAACTCAATGAAGGATTTGTAATCGAATCTTTAGCTGATAAGCGAGTCTTATAGTGCGAAAAATATTTGAAAACTTTCAGTAGAAGTATTTAATTTTTCTGCCCTGTACTCTATACTAGAGTAATTTTGTAGTAAAGACTTATGAATTCGAATTATTCTAGTTTAAAGATCTTCTATGTATGTATGACTACAAAAGTGATATATCATTTCGACTCGTTTTCTCATGAAACAGTTTAATATTCAATATCTTGAGAATAATACCAGCTTAAATTAAATACAATATTTTGTCTAGATTCTTTTTTGCTCTCAGAAGAGTTGTTTGAAGCTCCGAAAAGACAACATTATCTTTCTAATAATCATATTCAATTTTTTTTTCGAAGTCTCATTAACATTCCTTAGTGATTATACATAACCGTAGTTAATGAATTAGTTAATTGTAATACTTACTCGTCATTTTCGTCTTCATCACTATCAATTGAAATTTGTTGTTCATCAATAGGTTGAGTAATAAAATGATTAATACATTGTTGACATAAATTTAATTGATCAAAATATTTAGCAACTAAATCTAATGTTGATAAATTCCAATTAAAAAAATATTTCCAACGTTTATTAGCTTGTTCTACTCGATTAAATGTTTCATAACTAAATTGTTTTTTATGAATATATTGATTAAGAACTAAATGTCGACTATCATCTTTATTAAGTTGATCAAATATTTGAACATTCTTTTTATTAATATCGAAATTACAATAAATATCAGTTAAATAAATATCTTTTGTATACATAAATAAATAAAATAAATCTTATAAAATGATATTTTTTTAATTTTTTTCGAGCGCATTTTATTTATATTTTATAGGTATTATTTCGTGAAATATTTTTAACTATACTTGAAACATCAACTAGTTCATTCCGTCATAAATGGCTTGTTATTCAAACATTAGCTAAAATTTCTGCAGGTTAATTTTTATTTTATTTTTATATTGATTAATTAATTTGTATATATTTATAATAGATGCTCAAATTATTGTTGATTTATTTATTAATTATGATTGTTCAATGCGTTCAGCTAATATATTTGAACGTCTTGTTATTGTTCTATCACGTGCTGCACAAGGACGACAAGCAGATGAACTTGGTAAGTTTACTGAAAATACAAGACACTAATTACTCTTATCACTTGTTGAAATCTTTTAATATAAATTAACAGTATGAATATTTAGATCTCATGAATTGTTCGAGACTAAGCCGAGCGTCCGCGTATAAGATTTTTGAAGAATCTTATCGTAGAATTTCATGTACGACTTCGGAGATGATGATTTTTCGTATGATTTCGTCTCATCTCTAAGGCTATACGTTTGATTTTTTGAAATAATACTTACTCTGTTCTCTAATGCTAAAATTTTAGGATATATAGATACTTAAGATAGGAAAACTTTCAAAAAACAGAATAAATTCTAAAATAAATAAGAAAATACAATAGTAAACCAGTCTAAACGTAATTTCTTCAAAATTCTATCTGCAATTTTCTACAGAAATTGAATTAAGTTGAAATTCAATATAAAATCTTAATCACTGTTCTTTTTTTTTTATTTCTCATAATAGGTTGTAGTCCAACAGAAGAACATAATTTAAGAATGAAAGGTCTTGAATGTCTTGTATCAATTTTAAAATGTATGGTTGAATGGAGTAATAATTTATATGTTAATCCACATCTACAAAGCAATTTAGGTTTGTTATTAATATAATTCATTTTTTTTTTTTGCTATTCATTTTATTAAAATAATTTCTTAGGACCTGATTCAAAACCATTACATGACAATAATTATGATCAAGATAGTGGTCGATCATCATCAGGTTATGTTGGTAATGGTATACGTCGTACAGATTCTAGTGGTTCAATAAATTCTTATCATTCGAATAGTGGTCTTTCATCAGAATCATCAAAAAATGTAATCGATTTTGAATTAGTTCGTCAACGAAAAGAATTATTTGAAAAAGGCATCGATTTATTTAATCAAAATTCTAAAAAAGGTTTATCATATTTATATGAAAAAAATCTTCTTAATAATGAACCCGAAGATATAGCACAATTTTTTCATTCATATCAAGATATATTAGATAAAACTATTATTGGAGATTGTTTGGGAAATGAAGATAATCATTTCAAACAAATCATGTATGCATATGTTGATCAACTTGATTTTACAAATATGGAATTCTTAGCTGCATTAAGAAAATTTCTTTCTGGATTTCGTTTACCAGGTGAAGCACAAAAAATTGATAGATTAATGGAAAAATTTGCAGCAAGATTTTGTGAATGTAATTCACAGTAAGTTTGAATAAATTATTTATACACAATATTATTAAGATAAAAATAACGTAAGAGATTTTCTTTTACTACGAGTAATTCTTTGAAAAATATTGTTTCTGAAGTACAGAAGAAGCAAAACACTGAAGATATTACCAAAAAATCATTAGAAAAAGCTTTTTTTTTTTTGTTTTTTGGATGATGCTAAGTTTGTAAAGTCTACAAAACTTCATTCGTACAATATTTTCAAAATAAAAAAAAAAGTCATGCAAAAATTTGAACGCAATCGGCACGATCGTTTAGAAGAGAAAGGAAGGAAATTTAGTTGTGTGAAAAAAACGAAGAAAATTGCAGTTTTTGACTTTTTTAGCATGAAATTGAGTTTTTTTCTCAATGTAAAAGTATGGTTTAGTCTTCTTAAAATGTGCTTGTCAGTTACAAGACATCTACATATGAAACACAAAGAGTAAAAAAAGATCAAAAAACTGAAAATTTTGGGTTGAGACAGAGAGAGGGATCTCCTTCAAATAGAAACTCGTTTTGTAAGTGTGAACCTTTCACTTCTAAATATAGTTTAATGATATCTTTCATTCTTGTACTTTTGAGATCAAATCATAGTAAAACTTAAAAAGAAATGATGAAAACTTGAGTTCTTTTCTTTTTTTAAACGATGAGTAAAACTCTGCAATACTGATTGTTCTAACAAAAGAAAAAAAAACTAAGAAAAGAAATTCAAGAATACAAAATTTGATATCAATTTTCATACAAATCGAATATGAATAATTAAATATTTTATTATATTTTTGTTTTTAGCTTGGAAATTTTCGCCAGTGCTGATACAGCTTATGTTCTTGCTTATTCTGTAATAATGTTGACAACAGATTTACACAGTAAAAATGTAAGAAAAATAATTTCTTACTTTTTTTTTGTTCTATATAAAAATTTATCTGTTTTTTTTTTCAAATAAAGGTTAAGAAAAAAATGACTAAAGAACAATATATAAAAATGAATCGTGGTATAAATGAAAGTCGTGATTTACCAGAAGAATTTCTTTCAAAAATCTATGATGAAATTGAAAATGAAGAAATTAAACTTAAAGTAACAACATTAAGACGTGGAGCAAATACTGTTGGAGCAACTGGAACTAAAGAAAGTATGCTATCAATTATTCATTTTCCATGCTCATATACAATAGCTTTCAAAAAATTATTCGACTACTTTTATTTTCCATAAGAATTTTTGAAAATGCAAATAATTACTTGTTTGTCAGGGATAGAATTTAAACAAAAAAGAAAAAACATCAAGTTTTTCATCTGCTAGAATTGGCTAACACAATTCTACTTGAAACAATAGAGCAAACATAAAATGGAGCGTCTTACAAGTCTCTACGAATTGTTTTTAACTAAGATAAATCAATCTTACGAAACGCATTAAAGCCATTTTTTTTCTATTATTTCGTATTGAATACGAAAGTTGTGTTAGAAGTATCTTTAGAATTAATTAATGCCAAGCTCTTAGCATTATTTTTAATTCTAATAGATAGATTACCGACGACTTGATCTTGGATATGCGATATTCAGAAGTTCTCAAAATCGAATAATATTCATTGGTTTTGCTAATAATATTTTTGGAGATAGAAGATCTATGTTCTGTTATTGAATATCTGCGAAAATAAATTCTCAGCGGTATACTGGCATAATGCTAATTCAAGAGTAGGTCTCTCTTTTTGTCCTTTTTTTAGCTCTTGAAGATGATACAATTGATCAAGTTGAAATTTTTATAACGAATAAAACACCGAAAATAAGGCGTTACGTGTTTGATGAAAAAAAACATTTTTAAGTTGGTTTTTGTGATTTTTTTTCTGGAAAACCTGGTTTTCAGCTTTTTTCAAAAAATCTCACTCTCTTGTTTTAATGAGAAAAATACATAAATGTTTAGTGCGAAAACCAGAATCTTGACTTTCAAGATCTTGTAGATCCATGTAGAAAAGTCAAACATGATAACGGTCAATTTTATCTCTGAAGAATACTTTCAAGTATTAGTAATGAACATAGTTAGATGAAAGTTGTAAGTAACTAGGATACAGTTTCTATTGGAAAGCAAGATTTTCTAGAAGAAATTCACTTGAAAAATTTTTTCCTCAAACACTATTCTCATTACTTCTAATGTAAAAAGTCTCAGTTTGATTAATTATACTATCTTCAAGAATCAAAAACGGTCAAAAATGAGAAGCGGCTTCCTTAATACTAACAGCTTGATATAAATTCATTCTAATGGAAATAATACCAAAGTATTAAGATTAATATTAATACTAATGTTAATTTTGACACGTTTAGTATTGAAAGGAAAAAATAATAATAAAATTTGATCGAATAATGTTAGAAGCCACTGTAAACATTTTGTATATATTTAATTGTTTATAGATATAACCAGTGATAAACAACGCGAACTTTTATTTCATATGCAAATGAAAGATATTGAATGTGTTGCACGTGATTTAATGTCAAATGCTGGATCAAGTACTGAAGAATTTACTATTGCAAAACATCTTGAACATGTTCGACCAATGTTTCAAGTAAAATAGAAAATATTTATCTACAAAAATAAAAAAAATACATTTTGATTATTTAAGAAAGCTTGGTCACCATGTTTAGCTGCATTTAGTGTTGGTTTACAAGATAGTGATCATATTGATTTAGCTCATCTATGTTTAACTGGTATTAGTTATTCTATTCGTATTGCTTGTATATTTCATATGGAGGTTTGTTATTAAATAAAATTTTAATTATGATAATGAAATTCGTTTTCTTTTTTTTTGGTCTTCTATATAATTTAGCTTGAACGTAATGCATTTATTCAAGCATTATCACGTTTTACATTATTAATGACAACATCACAAGTTATTGAAATAAAAGCAAAAAATGTTGAATGTTTGAAAATATTAATATCAGTTGCACAAACTGATGGAAATTATCTTGGTGATGCTTGGTATGATGTATGTACATATATAAGAATAGTTTTTTTTTTTTTTATTAAATATGTAAGAATTTTTTTTTTTGTTTTCTTCTGAATATTTAGATTTTAAAATGTATAAGTCAATTAGAATTAGCACAATTATTTGGCATAAATGCTAATAAAGCAAGATTAAATATAACAAATCATCAATATCAAAATTTAACATCAACTAGTTCATCACATACATTTAGTTTACCATTTGATAATCTTTTTTATTCAGAAAAAGGTTTGACAAGTTTTGTTTTTTTTTAATGTTTATTATTTAACGCTGTTTTTGTTTTTTCTAAATGAGATGTATTTAATTTATTATATTTCTTGTAAAAATAGTATTGTAAATTTTTTAATATGAGAATTTGAAATTATAATCAAAGTCTAAAATTTGTTTTTTTAATGATTCAGACTGTTTCTATTTTCAATATTAAATAATTCCATCAATACGTTTATTATATAAAAAGAATACCTCATCATACTAATATAAATCATTAGTCATGTAAAATACATGAAAAATTATCAGTTTTTTTGCACAACAAAAAAATTATCTTCCTACTATATCATCAAAATTATACTTTAAAAACTGTCATCAATTCAAATAGGTAAAGAAGTATTGTTGTTATATTTGAAAAAAAATGCTATATAAAGTTTCAACCGTTTATTTGAGACTACGTAGGTAAGAGAAACAGTTACAAGCTACTCAGTCTCGTATATTTTTGAAACAAAGAATCATCACTAACTATTCAGTCAATATATTTGAGACTAGAAATTACTTAATTTTTCGTTTGTCCTCTTGCATATCAGACAAGATCTTTTGCTAAAGGCAGAAATATATAATGTAGTGACAAAAAAAAGTTTAATAACAACGTATTTTTCTTAAAATTTTAGTACCTAGCTCAAATTCAAGTAATGATTTTCATAGTCAATGAATCTATCTATTTGATATATTCTATAGCAAGGTTTTATGTATGGATTACCGTGCTCAAGATTTTCGAAATCTTGTCATTACAGTTCATCTAATATAGAATACATGAAATAGAAAACTTCATTGGATAATTAAAATCATTATTTTAGATTTAAGATAGCTGCTTAACCTTTTTTTTTTATTACTATTTTATATTTGAATTTTTCTTATAAATTCAAAGATTTTGTTTAAAAAAATAAAACTTTTAAATGTAGGTCAATTATCTAAACGTATGCAATCAATACAAGATCAAATACATGAAACAAGTTCTCAAAATATAGTCGTTTCAGTTGATCGTATTTTTTCTGGTTCAGCACGACTTGATGGTGATGCTATTGGTAATAATAAAATAAAAACCTATATATATATTTCAATTATTATTTTATTAACTATATTTCATTATTTAGTGGCATTTGTTCGTAGTTTATGTCATGTATCAATGGATGAATTAAATTCAAATTTACCACGAATGTTTAGTTTATTAAAATTAGTTGAAATTTCATATTATAATATGGGTCGTATTCGTCTTCAATGGTCAAGAATATGGGAAATTATTGGTGATCATTTTAATAAAGTTTGAATTTGAAAATTTTCTTTTTCTTTATTTATTAATATTAATATAATTAGGTTGCATGTAATTCATTACAAGATGTTGCATTTTTTGCAGTTGATTCTTTAAGACAATTATCAATGAAATTTCTTGAAAAAGGCGAATTTCCAAATTTTCGTTTTCAAAAAGAATTTCTTAAACCATTTGAAGTGATTATGAAAAAAAATTCGTATGATATTTTATTGATGAAATTTAATAAAATTTATAAAAAAAAAAAAAATAATACATAATTCTTAGATCATCAACTATACGTGATATGGTTGTACGTTGTGTAACACATTTTGTTGATTCTCAAGCAAAAAATATTCGATCTGGTTGGAAAAATATTTTTAGTGTCTTTCAAATGGCTGCTGCTGATACAGATGCACAAATTGTTGAATTAGCATTTCAAACATGTACACATATTATTGGTAAGAATAAAAATTGTAAATAATTTATATGAAAAATAAATTTTTTTTTGTTTATGATTATTTAAGGTGTTGTATTTGATAGACAATTTGCATCTGTACTTGATAGTTTTCAAGATGCTGTTAAATGTTTATCAGAATTTGCATGTAATGCATCATTTCCTGATACATCAATGGAAGCAATAAGATTAATTCGACAATGTGCTAAATATGTTGCAGAAAAACCACAAGTAATGATATGATTTTGCAATATAGTTAGTTTTGTTTATATATATATATATATATATATGATTTTTCAATAGATTTTTCGTGATCATGCTGGAGAAGATTTAATTAATGTACCAGAAGAAGATCGAGTTTGGGTGAAAGGATGGTTTCCAGTTTTATTTGAATTATCATGCATTATTAATCGATGTAAACTTGATGTGAGAACAAGGTAAATTTTCATTTCTTGATTTCATAGTTTGAAAAAAAAATACTATTGAAATATATTATAATGAAGATAAGCACAGAATTGAGAGTAACGACACAACGCCGTGTACTATAAGCTAAGGATATTAAATCATATTTGAGACAAATAAATACTTTCACCAACAAAAATTAAGTTAAAATATGAGTTGTTCATAGTTTACACTAATAGCATGATCAAGAATCGGTTAAGCTAGACGCCACTCTGTCACCTAAGATCTTCTAGTTACGCCAGTAGGGTGTATCGCCCGAGATATTTAATTTGCAAAATATTTGTATCAGATGGGCATACTTCAAAAGATTGAAAACATTTTAGCTATCTCTTTTCGTCATGATTGGATAAAACTGGGCGAGTTCAATAACAAAAGAATGATATCATAATATTCAAGTGCAATTTTAGAATAAAATTCAAGATACTATTACTATTAAATATAAGAGTAATAGACACAAAATTCTGACTGTTAGAAAATCGCTTTTGAATATGTATGATATTATTATTTTTTTTTATTTGGCTGAATTCTATCCGACCATGACGAAAAAATAAAACAGAATACTTCGAAAACTTAGAAGTATGGCTATATGACGTAGACTGTAAATAATTTGAAAGTCGAATGTATTGATTCGTGCACCCTATGGACATAGTATATGATCTAAACATAATATTGAACTATAAAAGTAGAAATTTAAACTTTCATAGATCACACCAAATACCTTAGCAACAACTTTCTCTATCATAGCAGAGTAAACCGTAAAACTAACGTCTTCTATGGAATATCTTTTATTTCGGATACAAATTAATACGTTGACAGCAGTGCAGAGTCTTTTAATTTACAATATAGTTTATCAATAAGTTATAGTAGTCCTTCAAGTGGATGTGATTGAAAAGAAAATCATCCAAAGTGATTGATCAATTTTGAACCGTTATTTTAAGCATATAAAGAGAATTTCTAGATTTTGGAGTAACTTTAACATTTTTTCTGGCTTTTTACGACTGAATAAAGTATTGTCTAGAATAGATACTAATAAATATAGTTTGAGAAGTATCTTGTCATTCGCTTAAGTATAAAAAGAATATTAAAAATAAATTTTCTATTTCTAGAGCATTAACTGTTATGTTTGAAATAATGAAAAATTATGGTGAAACATATCGTCAAAATTGGTGGATAGAATTATTCAATGTTGTTTTTCGTATTTTTGATAATATGAAATTACCTGATACACAAATTGAAGTAAAATTTTGAGAATTTCTTTTTTTTTTGTTTTAATAAATTATTTCTTTTATTATTATTATAGAAAATTGAATGGATGACAACAACATGTAATCATGCTTTATATGCAATTGTTGATGTATTTACACAATTTTATAATGAAATACCTGAAACACTTGTTGATAATCTTTATTGTCAATTAAAATGGTGCGTTAATCAAGGTAATTTAAATATTTTGAAATCTATAAAACAAAGGGAAATAATTTATTCAATATATATTTATAGATAATGAAATATTAGCAAAATCTGGAACAAATTGTTTGGAAAATTTTGTTATAGCTTGTGGACAACGTTTTACACCACATGTATGGGAAAGAACATGTGCTTGTATATTAGAAATATTTCGCTCAACACTTCCTGAAACGTAAGATATTTATATATATTTTTTTTTAAAGGACTTTTTTATAGACGAAACTATATCATGATGTCTTCTGTTTCAATGATCAAAAGTCATAGATTGCTATTGAGATGTTCATCATACACTTATTTCTGATTTCAATATAAAGAGATGTATTCGAGTTGATGATTTCGACAGCTGGGTAATTTAGTGAGTTTCTAAGTAAAAGTAAGCAGTAAATATATCGCTTCCGTTCAGAAAGCACTACGAAATTGAAAGCAGAAGTACGATGATCATGTCCAATGACTAGTTCTCCTTGTATATTATTCATCTGGAAAAATGTCCGTCGAGTTCAAAATTTCCAGACTCCGAATCAATCCAACGGATTCTAACCTGAATACTCAAAATCATACTACAGTTCACAAAATACTCCTCATAAATGATAATAGATAGTCTTAATCATTGGCAAATAAAAAAACAACTTTTTAACAAGATTTAAAGAAAAGAAAAAAAAACAAGTTATATTTCAATTTTAGTCTAATGACATGGCGACCTGATATTGAATCCAGTGGAATTTCTACGCACAATGAAACAACTGTAAAAAAAAACACAATTCTTACTAATTTTCAAAATCGAATAACATATATATTTTTTTTTTAATTTATATAAAATAGTTACTCGATCGTACAGATAGTTCATTTGATTATGCAGCTGTTGAATCAGCATCAAGTCAACATAATCGTATGGTACTCGCTGGTACTACCATTAATGTAAATAGCAGTACATCGGATCAACAAGAATCAATTTTAAGTAATCGTCTATCACCTACAAATAGTATTGAACGATCATTAAGTAAAATAGAAAAAAAAAATTATTCTTTTTTTTTATTTTTTCTTTATTAGAAACTCAATCAGATTTTCATCTTTTTCAAATTTTAACAATCAAATGTATTGTACAATTAGAACTTATACAAACAATTGATCATATTGTTTTTTATCCATCAACAAGTAAAAAAGAAGATTTACAAAATATTGCTATTGCACAAGTAAGGATAAAAAAGAAAAAAGAAAAAGACAAAAAAACGAAACGTTTGTTTTTATTTAATTAATAATTAACAAATTAATCTAGAAATTGACTTGGTTTCAAGCTAAGGTATTTAGTAATAATAAAAATAATAATAAAAGTCTTGGGGAAAAATTGGTTTATTTTTTGTGTAGTTTCATATGCATGTACGATTGTATTGGCTCTTTTATTTAATTTTTAAAAAAAATCACTTTTTTTTTTGTTTTGTTTGTTTACGTATTTAAAAAAAAAAAACAATCTGTTTTTCTTTTGTATTTCAGGCATTAGCAAATGTTTCATCAGGTCAACAAAATTTAGCATATTTTACTCATTTGGATGATACACGTGATGATTATGGAATGTATAATAATATGAATTTAGATCAATTACTTCTACTTATTGATTGTCTTATTGAATCACATATGTTTGCTCGAGCATTTAATTCAAATCATGAACAAAGAAATCTTTTATGGAAAGCTGGTAAACAAAAATTAAAATTTTTGTTTTTGTTTTTTTATTAATTAATAAATTCAATTTTTATTTTGTTTTTATTCAAGGATATCGAGGAAAAGCAAAACCAAATTTATTAACACAAGAAACTCATAGTATTGCATGTGCATTTCGAATTCTTTTTCGATTATATACTGATTCAAAAAGAAATGATTCAATGGATATACTTAAAAGACGAATTCTCAAGTAAAAATCAAAATAAAAAATAAATTAGATAGAAAGAATTTTGTTTTTTAGCATTTAAACGAAATCGAATAATAAGAATTAGAAATACTCTCTGTTCCTCGTCTTTGTCCATGGAATGATCGTGCCTTAATCACATAAGCTATGAAACTCTATTACTAGGTATTTTAAAAGAAAAGAATGTACATCAAATACTGAGAAGTTATGAGAAAGAATATAATTGTTGATGAACTCTTTCTTTCTGAAATATCGTTTGTCTTATCATTCCATTTTATACTCATTTGCTAAATTTATAAATTAAATGATTAGACGTGACGATGTTGCTTCAGCCGTGTCTTCCACTTTGCGGTCATTTTTCCTTAACTGGAGGAAAAAAATGTCCGCAAAGTAGAATCGGGGGGAGGGGGGGAGGAGAGACACAAATGACCGCACGTTGGAAAATGTCCGCAAAGCGGAATCGATAGATAGAGAGACAAAAATGACCGCATTATGGAAACAAGCGAAAACATATATTCAGGGTGATCAGTGTAGGTAGCAAGATTTAAGAATGAATATCACGTCCTTCGAGCTAGTCTAGTTTTGAATATCACGTGCCGCCGAGGCCATTTTTCAACGCTGTTGTGAACGAATGTATTTAAAGTAATCGAAATCAAGTTAGATAAATCAAATGAAAAAAAATGTCCATTGTAAACAATGAGGGTGTGCGTGTGGGGTGTGGGTGTGGAGTGTGGGGCGTGGGGTGTGGAGTGTGGGAGTGGTGTGGATGTGTATAAACAAAGACCCCCACCCCACACCCATGCCCTACCCACATCCACGTCCATACCCATACCCCACCCACACCCACATCCACACCCACCCTGTCTTTCATCGATCAATTTTTATGTATTTTTTTTTCACATAATAAATTTTGTCTTCATTCTGTAATGCGGTCGTTTCTGTCTCTCTCTATTGATTCCACTTTGCGGACATTTTCCAACGTGTGGTCATTTGTGTCTCTCCCCCCGATTCTACTTTGCGAACATTTTCTCTTAATTGATTCAAAAAAAATGTCCGCAAAATTGATGTAGCCGCTTCAGCCTTGTTTCTTGACGAGAAACACATCTCTGATAATAATGAAGATGACTATTACAGTATTGATGAAGAAGAAAAGAAACATTCTTCATAAATGTTGATTTTATTTGATTCGAGAACAAAGTGAATTTAACAAATATGAAGATTGAAATTCTTTTTTAAGTAAAAAAAAAACATAGTATCTATATATTTATGTCTCAGAATAGGAGATACTAGAGCATCTAATAGTATTACAACGAACTAGTCTTATAAAGAACTTTATTTGTGTCGAAAGTTGAAATTGAAGATGATCTGAACATTTTTTTGAAAGACAAACTAAAAGGAGCCATTAGCAGATTTTGCGGAAGACACTGTGAGTAATTGCTCTCATTTCCGAAATATTTTTCTTAGCAGAAAAAACTGAAAAAAAGAGTCAATACAACTTTTAATGAACTTCAAAACATGTTTTGTGCTTATGTTCGTTCTTCTTTTTCAACATCGTAGATATACCACTGACATGATTATACCTCAATCAACAAAAAACTATGATTACATATCTTTGCCATCTTTATTTAGTCTCAATACGAAAATATTGAATCAGATAAGATTTATTTCAAAAATGCATAGCTATTTAGTAAAATTCCATCATAAAGTTGAATATTCATTCAACGTGCGATAGACATAAAAAATGAACTAATGACTAAATGAAAAAATTCACAGTTAAAGATTGTTTATATTTTGTTTCTAAGACGAAAGAAACATTCCAATCGAAATCATAATATTCTCTTTGAATCGTTTGATATAAATTTTTGAAATTTTTCAAACAAATTAATTTTAATTAATAGATTGGCTCATAGTAGTTTGGAATATTATGTAACATTACAATCTGAAAGTCATCGTGATGCATGGACAAGTGTACTCATATTAATATTTACTAAATTTCTCAAACTTAATGACGATCGAGTAAAATTTAATTAATTATTTGAATTTTTTTTTATATTAGTTTTTTTGTTTTTATATTTTAGTTCAAATATTTTTCAGGGGATATATACTCAATTGTAGCTGAAATAGTTGTATTTGATTTAAAACCTGAATTACGGTATATATTACGAGAATTTTTACTTCGTGTTGGTCGTGTATTTAATGTGAACAGCGAATAAAACTAATTCAAACTTCTCACCATTCCTTTCCTTAATTCAATCTGTTCACATAGGACAAACAATATACATTCCTCATTAATTTTCTTATTTCAACCAATTTTAATGTTGTTGTTGTTGTTGTTGTTGTTTTCTTTTTTTTTTTTCTTATTCTTTCTTCTCTATTACACAGTGATTATTATTTCTATAGTTATTTTTTGGTTTGTTTTATCCTTATCTTGGACACATTTAAACTTCTATTCTCCATAAGTAAAATAATTTGTTCATGAAACAAAAAAAAAACGCATACACGCATTGATTTATATTTGACAACGGATACGTGAAAGTGAGAGAAAGAATTAAAATAAATAATTTGCTTTTCATTTTTTTGTTTTTTTTTTTGGTGTGTGTATGTGTGATTTGTTATCGATGAAATAAATAAAACCAAATATTCTAAATTATTACTTTTTCTTTTAACATATCAGTCCTATTGATTCAATCATGATTATCAATATTAAACTCTAGACAAAAAGAAACGAAACTTCATATGGTTTGTCTCACTTTCTATAACATGATATGCAAGAAGACAAATTTACATTATTTTATCAGTAAAAAAAGACAAATAGTAAAGAAAGATCAAAAAATTTAGATTTAACAGAATAATACAAGACGATATAGTTATGAATGAAAATTTTCATATCGGTAAATAATGATTTGAAGCAATTGTTTTGACATACATGGACGCAAAAGCAAGATATAACATGTAACTTCGTATGATATGCCCTCAATGCAAAATAATTCATAAAAAAAAGTGATTCTTTCTTAGGTTCATAGACTTGTAGAAGCTTCTGCCTGGTATTATACAGATTAGATAAGTATTCCAAGACACTTTATATTCAATTTATTGAAGTACTCGTTCAGATATTTTATAAATTTTTTTTTTGAAGTAGTCATACACGTACTCGAGAAGTGATTTATTTTATGAAAGAGTCAACGTAACGTAGTCATTCCATCTCCGTAGAATATAGATATTCGATTTCTTGTTGCTGACTGTTTGTTAAAAAGAATCATGATGAAAATAACCAAAGAAATGCGACCATGTGAATACACAAAAAATTCTTTTTCAAGTGTATTAGCTTTCCAAGGAAATTATTCGAAACATTGTTCTTAGTGCATTATATATATATTTTGAATTTTAAATAATCTTGTTTTCATCAAAGATTCCTATTCTATTTTAGTGTGTATTTCAACATCTACTTATTTAAATGGTGAAATGATTTTCATTCTTTCATTTTCAAAAAAAATATTGTTGAATATGTTGGTGATACTAAAATATGAATTGACATCATTCTTATTTTTTCGATATACACTAGAAGCAATCAATTTTTAGAACATTTTTCTAATAATTTCATAGCTACTTACGTCTGTTTTTCTGTTTCTTCAATATTTCTTGACAGTTTTTGTTTTTTAATATTAATCCTTTTCTTACTAATGCAGGTTCGTCAGCAACAAAGTGAGAAGAAAACTGAGCAAATATTTTAGGTAGAAAATAGATATGTTAATGAAATCACATGGAGAAGATTCTTGTTTAGATAAGAAGGTTGAATTGATCTTTCACATGAGTTAGTTTTCTTTTTCAATTTAAACTTAATTTAATATAATTGAGTTTGATTGGTTATTATTAACTTATTAATATTTTACGTTTCGTATCTCGATGAGATACTTGGACAGTAAATTTAGGATAAATTGTGTACAAATGCATAAAATAAGAACAAACAAATAATTTGTCGTTTCTTTTCTTATGTATCGGTTACTCTTCGATAATGATACACAAAACAAGACAACAATAGTAATAGCTAGGTAGACATTGAATCCTTTGCCCGTGTCACTATCGAGGAATAATCAATACATAAGAAAAGAAAAAGAAAATTATTTGTTTGTTCTTATTTTATTTATTTGTATACGATTTGTCTTAAATTTAATGACCAAGTATCGTATCGAGAAACGAAACGTAAAATCTTAATAAGTTAATAATAACAAATCAAACTAAATTAAATTAAAGTAAGTTCAAATTGAAAGAAGAGAATTAACACATGTCAAAAAATGTTGAGAAAAATATGAAACGTTTAGATGCACTAAACAAATTTTGTCATGTTACATATTGAGTACGCATGATGCATTGTCATTGTTCTTCCGTAAAACCATCGATATATCGAATTTCGCTCATGCAATCAACGAAGCTTGTACTGGTGATGAATTTCAATTAGATTTATTTGAGAAAAAGAATAAATGCGAATAAATTAAACCGAAGCATCTATAATAGTCGAAAAATGTTTCAATGGAAAAATGTTGTCTAAGTCAGTTTGTTGAAGATACATGTAGCGATGCGTTGTCCCATTTTTTACCTTCTGCTTGATCTAACCGCCGATGAACACCTAAATACATCCTACAGACAAAGTTTTCTTCTTCAGCTTGTGACAAATTGTCATAGTATCGAGTCATTGGTGGTCGTGGTAAACCAGTGTTCGAATCGATCGTCTTGTCGTTATATTCGTCAGATTGCCAATGAAATGAAATTTGATCGGTCTTGTAAAATAGTCGAACCATCTGAAGCATTGCAGAGCCGAATGTTGCATGTCCCGAAACATAAGTTGGATGTGGTGGTGTAAAGTTGTCACCTACTCCATCTGCTTGTGCTCCGAGCGGTAGCCAGTATGGAATGGCAGCAGTCTTCTTTGTACCTTGTCTGTTACCGACAATCGGTCTCCAAACAGAATAATAATATTTACTGTCCCACGCAGAAATGCCAGCATCAGCCAATGCATAATTCACTAATTCAAAAAGTCAAGCATTTTGTTGTAGTGTGTTACTTTTTTTTATGGCAATGACACGAACTATTTGGTTGTAATGTCTAATTGGCACACCCACTCTGGTTGTACCATCATAAGACCAAAATTTGCCAATCTTGGTTTGATCTGCTGTTCGAACTGCACTCCTACGGGATCCAAATGAAACAATTTCGTTGTAATCATCAATATATGCTTGTGAATCAAGATATTGAGCACGCGCAGTCACAGTCTCTCCAACAATGTTCGAAGCGCGAAACTGTGATCCAGATTTGATAACAAAAGGTGTGACTTGACCCCACCAAGGATTTTCAAATCCTTGGTTTGGATGAGTTGGATCCGGTCGGTGATAGCCTGGTGCCCTAATTGGTGTGTAGCCACCATTACTTTGACTGTTGTCAGTGCTTCGAATTTTCAAAATTGTGAAGGCGAATAGTCTTCCCACTGTAATGCCTATGGTAATTCCGAATTTACTATGAGTATGATGTTTGATATTCTTTATAAAGCCTTCTCGAACTTCATTGAATAAGATTCTTTGTTTGGGATACAGGGCATATAGAGTTCGATAGGAGGCTTCACCAATAGCTGCTGCGATAGCAGGTTAGCGTGGAACATGATTTGTCGAAGGTAAGTGATCGGGATTGCACATCGGTTTAGAGACATGCGTAAATGCATTCATTGAGTCATGCATTGCTCCATGCATAATAGCAAAGGCACGGGATGTTGATGTTGGACTGGATTGATCAGGAGTGTAAATAATTGATTTTTTCAAAATCATTGGCGCAAGCTTGCAATGCCACAGAATTTCACAAGAGAATCGAATCCGTTGATTTGTGCTTTAATTCATGAATGAGAGCTCTTGCTTGATATTTTAATATTTTTTCAAGATGACCTGAAACGCAGTTCGTAGCGAAAAAAAATAGAATAATCAGCAGTTTATTTTGAAATAGATAGACCATGTTGTATTATTCAAAGTAATAATGGTGAAGCAATACTAATGCCTCGCTATTTATATATCAACAACATGCAGTTGAAATAGAGAATGGCTTAGCGAAGATATATGGCCTATACACGACGATGATTGTACCCCTTTACATGATACCCGATCTAAGTAATTTTACTGAAAAGAAACAATGAATAAGTGGTATACAACTTGAAAAAAATAAATACGGATACGATTATATTATACTAGTGCAGGGTAATCATTAATCGTTTGTTTTCTACTTTGCTTTGACTTTTGTTACGATTGTCATTTTATTCATCTTTTGTTACCTTTTAGATAGACGTTTGCTCTATGTGACAGGAAAAACAATATGGATGTGATTTATCTTTATTTCAAGGACGGTCAAAATGTCCCTGTTCTAATTTATTATTATCATATTCAAATGACGTACGTATTATTATGGTGATAGAGATAAAGAAAACCCTGGATTACGTACAATAGACAACCCTTTAAAATGGCTCATTTCATGTTATGTTCAATTATCACTATTTTGAAACATGGTCTGAACGAATGTTGCTTAAAACGAAATTATTGCTTTGATTGCACTGGATGTTCAACGAAAAGCCAATGTTTTTATTTATTGACTGGACTCGATTATGTGTTTTCTCAGTTGTTGGTTTTCGTTGCGAAAACCGTAATAAGTCAAGCCTATTCTCAAGAAATCATTTATCACTTTTTCGACTGTTTTGCACAATATAGAAGATTTGTTTAATTAGTGTCATAATTAATAATTCATATTTATTGATGATTCAACTTATTGTTGGAATTTAAATAGTTCCATTAGCATTGAAAGAATGTAAACAGCAAATGAAATAAATAATGGAAGTTTGTAAAAAATAATATGAACCTACATTCTGACTGCTATCATTGTCACAAAAATTGAATATATGATGTTTCAGTCAAATATTTTTTTATAAGTGTAGAACAAGAAAATGCAGCTAGAATTAAAATATTAAATGTGAACTTTATTTATTTCATAAATCATCATATTTCGATACCTATTTATATTAGAAATCATGATCAGACAAAGAGAAGAGTTGTTTAAAAAGATAGATTCATAGTATTCTATTGTTATTTATGTTAATGTTTACATTTAGACTTAAGCATTGAAATGAATTATCAATAAATATAAATGTTTAAACAGAAAAAATTAAAGAAGTTTTATATATGTTTCA